TGCACTTTGTGCCTAGCACCTCTAGTACTTGCTCCGCTAATGAGTTGACCATGTAATTCGAAAAAACCAATAATTATTGATACCTTTAATGGCGTGTATCCTTAACAAAATGGTCATCTGCGCTGGAGAAATTCTGAAATGCGTATAAAAATAGCTCAAATGCAATTATTTTTTCTACTTATAACACTCAAATAAATTAATAAAACATTATTAAAGGCCGACTCTACGAGAGTTATAAAACATTGTAAATTAATCAAAACATAAATTATATTAAAAATATTGTTCTTACTTTATATTTGTCAAATCGAAGGTATGTAGACCCGAAAGGAGACTACTTGTATCTCGTTGCATTATAAATGAACCACCAGGCTGACTGATATTATTTTTAGATTACGCCAACTAATTTTTCGAAACCCTCTCAAAAATGCCATTAGAGAGTTATTTTGATCCTCATCGTGACATTGATATTTGGAGAAAAACTGTTTATATACCTATTCATTGTCATCATATGCTTCGTTTTCTATATTTTCAAACAACAAATCGATATGAAACTCAAATTATTAAAAGAGAACGAAAAAACAAATCTAACGAAATTTATAATAAGATAGATAATCTTACCGAAAAAATTTCTGTTTTTATGAAGAGTTCCAACAACAAAAATTTCATAAAGATGATACGTTAAATAATAATTCGAGTAATTTTTCGAGTAATTTTTCGAGTAAAGATTTTCAAGTAGTTCTCGAGGTAAGATTGTTTCAACGTATAAATATCCCGCCTTCTCGCAGTAACTGCTCGAAGCCAGAAAAAACAGACAACATACACTGATAACATACATCTTTTTCCGAAAGGCAAAGAGGAAAAAAGGGGTTCAAGATGCACTTTGTTTTCAGATCCACTTTTTCCAGAAATTTAAAAACCTTTTCGACGAGACCATGCGAGAAAACGATTATTCTAAAGCCGATATGTTTGTGAAGTTGTAAGCGATCTTCGAAAGGAAGATTATTTCGAACAAAGCGGTGAAAATTATTATAATCAAACAACGAAACCCGACGCCAGGAGCTTGGATCGAGCTCAAGACTAGAGGAAAAAATAAATCCGCGTCTAGCAATAATGATATCAATGAAAAAGTTAGCGATGACAATAGTGGTGATGGGGAAATAAATTATAACAATAATAATAAATAGTTTTCGACTTGGGAGAGCCAAAGTATAGGGGCGTACATTGGATGGTCTAAGGGGCCGTACGTTCTCTCCCTTGCAACTCTACCGTATGAAAACAATATGTGCTTTAGCCAATTATTGCTAAGTTAATACAAATGTCGTTATGCCTGAAAAATCAATTGCATAATACACATATTCGATCAGGCACGTGAGTGCCATTACTTCGTAATATATTATGGAACTTTTCATGCTGGGTTGTTACTATAAATTCCAAATAAATTCATGTCTTATTGGTTGAATTAGTTATCAAAATTGTCGATTGATGAATTTCTGAACAGTCGGAAGAAGAAATAATACGTGTGCATGATAATAACACATTTATTGAAGGCTTTTCGATATATCAGACATTCATATTGAAATCGATGACAGCGTTGATGCTGAACCTACCAATGATGCTATAAAGAGTTTAGAATGTTAATGCTTTTGATTCCATGGACGAAATTTTAACTTTGTCATATGCAAACAATAAAATGCTCCCTCATATATGCACACTCTCCATACATATGGAGGGTGGACTGTAATAGTTTTCCTAATCAAGATAAATAGGAAAACTGTTCTCAATAACGATAATGGAGCCAAACGTTAGGACAAAGCACGTATTGATCTGTAAATCCTACAAAGGCAGAATATGTTCCACTTGATTGATAGTTTGCTGTATAGCATCATTCGACATGCTCTAACCGAAAGATCATTTCGTTGCCCACATTTCTAAACAGTGCTAAAATTATTATGTTCTATACCACAGTACTTAAGAGATTCTTTACCAGACCGAGGAGTGTGAATGGCAATTTCATATTGTTAAAGACTTAGACATGACATTCAGTATGTACGTATTTTTATCAAACTAACATTGGCATTTATTATAAAAGTTATAAAAAGTACAACTAAAAACAATCTATTATTATACATTCTAACATTTACAGCTTACTGTTGGTCAGTACCATATAATGTTGGTTGTCGACGAGATAAAAATGACAATCTTCTATATACTTCTTCACTGCTTGGTCTGTCCTCAAGTTTTTCATCCCAGCATTCAGTATATAACGCAATGTAAGCCTCGGGTGTCCCTTTAACAGGATCATGCCGCTCGCCACGGAATCTGAATAACGCTATATCGACTTCACGACAACCTTTAAACGGCGCTTCTCCACTTGATATTTCCCACAAAAGCACGGCCAAGCTGAAAATATCAGACTTTGGTCCACGGGAGTAGGATTTATTCTTCAAACTTAATGGATCCATGTAGGCTGTTTTTCCCATCTTTCCGGAAGTGGATGCTGTTTGTGTGATATCACCGGAACAACCAAAATCGGACAGTTTCGCAGTTTTATCAACCATGAGAATATTTGAGGAGCACTAGGAACGGAATCATGTTTCAAGGTAACATGTTATAAAATAAAATAATCCAACCACAAAGACAATTGGAACAATACGTAAATAATACTATACCAGATCTTTATGCACTATTCCCCGTCCATGTAGAAATTTCAAAGCATTGGTAATATCCAAGCCTAACCTATATTTGTCTTCCCACGTTAGGAGCGCGTGGTGTGTCGCCAAATACGAACGCAATGTTCCTCCAGTTGCATATTCAAGGAGCATGCCATATTTACCGGCTTTATCTGTCAGCGTGAACTGATACGATTATAATGTGTTCTCAGATAGCAAAGGAAACAATGAAACTAGAAATCGAATATACCTTTGCTCAAACCATATAATCGAATGATGTTTGGATGATTGTTCACGATACTATGATGTCTGAGCTAGCAATTGCAAAATCGGTCATTTCTATGTAACATTTCGTTGGTAGAAGTTAATTTATAAAGAATGACTTGTAACAAACCTCTTGAACGAATGCCTCATACAATTCCGAATCGGTATTATCGTTTCTAGGTACCAAGACTTTCAACGCGACTACGAGTTCCGACTGTCTTATCTTTCCCTTGTATACCACACCAAATCCACCGTGACCTATAATGACACGATCCAAAATATCTTCATCCTCATGATGTGGTATATACAAATGGCTATTTTCCAAGTATGCCTTGGATGATGATATGATGGTACTGTTACTTTCTGAAACCTCGGGCTTTCTTTGGTTGCTTTCTGCATATGTCTCCTCCAGTCTAGATATTAGCAGAGACATGTCAGGAAATTTGTGACGAGCGGCCAGACGTATGCCAATTTCAAGCTTGCCGAGACATTTTACAATGTATTGCAACAGTGTGGAGTCATCCACGGTCACAGATAATACCTGAATGCGAACGTAGATAAATCAAAATTCAATATACTAATAATAATACAAATTAATCCCAATTAGTATCCTGAACAATAGACCAAACTAAATCTTCGTACCTGTCCTTCATCATTTACAACGAGTAATCCGCTACTGTCCTGAAGCGCACTAACATTAAATATTTCCGTCGTACTAATTTGGTCCGTAAATACAAGAGCTTGGGACCCAATATCAACAATATGGATGAATCCGAACTTGGTAACAAGAAAGAAGAAACCGTATTCCTTACTGAATACGCAATCGATGAACCGGTCTCCTGCCGCTTCGGGCAAGAAATTTATTGAAATTTCATCACAGTATTTATCGATACGGGATAATTGTGGCGTTTCGATTGTGTTAAACATGCAAAGCTATTAATCGGTAGAAACATTTGTCAATATTATTCGACTGCATATAGGTTTTGTTCATAATCTTATTGCTTAGCGTCTCACTCACACTTCCAGAGTCGGAATTGATATTTGATGCAACTGCAAACAACGATTTGTTAACACTCATCCCGTTAACTTCTCCAGAAAATACAAAAAACGCGGCCGCGGTTCCATCAAAGTCACGACTGAGTTTATGTCGACTGTTCCACAACTGTATCTTGCCAATCGCTCTTCCACTTTCATGACCCTGTTGGTAAAAAAAAAGGCACTTAATAAATAACCTCGTCAAACATCATGTGCAAAACCTCATTATTAGTAATCATCACCTCATGAATCTTCTTGATTCCAATAACAGCAGCCCACGAAAGATTTTTGTTAGCCACATAGTTGATAATCTGGGTATCTAGCAATGATTTGTTTCTGTTAAATTCCTTCACAGGTGCTATAGCGTCAACCTTCCAATAGTATATTGACCGCTTCGTTACAAAGACCAAAGTGGTGTTGTTAAGCCACTTCCAATATTCCAATGCGTCTTCCAATGTATGATACCCAGTTTTAGTTTTGGTAATGCAACTAAAGATTTGAATCACTTTGTTTGCTGATGAAAAATACAAAGATAGACAATATCGTTTTCTTTTTGGTGAATACACAAGTTACGATAACGTCAAATCGGCTATAACAGTATTCAAAATATATTTACATTGCAGAGCTATGAACTGTCCGTTATCGCTCAGAATCACTCGCTGAGCATTAATTCCATGTCTCTTCACGTTGTCCGTGTCCTGAAGATCTATTATTACCACCTTGGTTTTGCCATATTCTTTGTTGGAGACGACGATAAAGCGGTCTGATGCGAGGTTACAGGTCTCAGAACGAATGTATTCGTCGTCTATAGCGTAATTAGATAACTGCAAGGCAGCATATGCTAATTATATAAACATACAATTATGCAGTGAATTTTTACAAAAGGTTGAAACGCTATATTTTATCCAACCTCGAGTTTCTCTTGTACGTTTATGGGTTTCTCTTCGTTTGTAGCTGTGGTCATATCGAAAGTTTCGGTTTTTTGATTATTATTATCGCTTTTTTAGCCTGCTCAGGGATATTGTTACACACCAAAGAAAGTAACAGGGGTAGATAGCGCGCATTCACAAAAATGAACCCATGGATTAACGTTAAATCGTAAATGCAGTTGCCATTTTTGTTACTAATCATGTGACGTGAATCTAAAAAATTTTAGATCAACTTTATATTAATATTAATATTTATTTCTCTTACAAATGCGATACTTTACTTGTTTTCAAAGAGAGCACTCTTCTGTATCCAAACTGTACTATCCAGTACGACATGTAAGTAAGACCATACCTCGCAATTGGCAACACCTACAACAACACCGATTCAATAGTCGACACACTCTCTTCAACCTCACGTCCGAACAGTACCTTCCTTTCGTCTCCTCTAATTTCCTCTACTGTTAAAAAAGTCACATGAAACTTCGAACCGAATGGCACGAAGAACCATCTCTCCACAACACTTTTATCAGAATAGAATTCTGGATCAATATGCATATCAATCTGCGAAAACTATAACGCTTCGTCAGCTAGTGTTTTTTGGAAGGAACCTAAACGAGGATAAACTAATACAAAGTGGCAACTATGTGAGAAAGGAACTCCCCGTGAGACTTGCTCACAGAATACGTGACTTTCAAAATCTTCCATTCATAGTCGGTACCAACTCTTTTATTTCTACTGTTTACGAGTTATATTGGTCAGCATTTGATCGACTACGCAGTTTTCCTGAAATAAAAACTATCGAGGACAACCATATGTTTTGTGAGACATTGAAGGGTCTTTTACGCGAACATCTTGTCGTGCTTCCGCAATTGGCAAGAGGAATGATGGAATGCTCTAATCACATATCGCAAGCGTTAATAGATAGATTCATGTATACTATGCTACGTTCTCGCATATCAAGAAGAGTGTTGGCTGAGCAGCAGATCGCCTTGACTACGAACTGGAACAAGTATGGACATAGTGGATTCTATTCCGATGGGTGTATCGGTGTTGTTAATACGAAATGCAATGCAAGGGATACTGTGGAAAGATGTGCAACCGTGACAAGAGATGCATACCGTACTTACTATGGAGTCGAACCTCCCGAAGTTGTGTTTGATGGCCGTGAGAATGTCGTGTTTACCTATATTCCAGATCATATAGAGTACGTCCTGTATGAACTGCTGAAGAACTCTATTAGGGCAACCATCGAAACGTATTCTCCAGAGGTTGTTAATGGTGTAATGGAGGACATGGGATCGGATACAAAAGCCCCGGAGGCTACGCAGGATACCAACGAAACGAAGGAAGTGCAAGCTACTTCTTCATTTGCTCAACCGTCTTCTCGTCCTCACTTTGCACATGAAACGACTCCTCGTTCGCGTCCACTTGCGCCTTCCGCTACTTTAGCGTCCAAAACACCGTCCTATCCACCTATACGCGTGACGGTCTCTTCATCTTCTACCGATGTGCACTTCCGTATCTCGGACCAAGGAGGCGGAATTCCCGAATCCATATATCCGCATATCTGGTCATTTCCTTCTTTGAAATTCAAGAAATTCACCAATCTCGACAAAGTATCTCAGATGGCTGCTACTTTGAGAGAAAGACAGGAGAAAATCATTCACCCAATGCTGAAATTAGGCATTGGTTTGCGTATGAGCAAAGTTTACTGCGAGTATTGGGGGGGAGGCTTGACAGTATTTAGTATGGATGGGTACGGGACGGATGCCTATATTAAGATTACAAGATTGGGAAACAAGGAAGAGAATATAGTGTAAGTTGGAATGGACAATTGGATAACAGACTCAACATCGATAATCTTGGCATCATGTGAAGAATAATGGGATTTGAATTAACATGTACAATGATGCGACCCCTGACATCACATTGGCAGAGGGTCCATTAAGCTTTTCCGGAAAAGAACCGTATCATAATGTCTTTCGAACTGTTAACAGAATTATCATTATTTACTTAATAATGTAAAACAAATATAAAGCTTCGCAACCAATTTCCATCCCTACCGCCTTCGATTTTACTTTGTAATCACGATCTATACAATCTGCGGAATATCGCACACCTTAATCTGCACACTTTAATCTGCACACTTTAATCTGCACATTCTCCTTAATCATAACACTGCTTTTATGTGCTTCCTCTACTATTTACTTAATTTACGCGTTCGTATAGATGGAGTCATCTATCTTCCATTTATCTGACAAGAACTTGGGGTTTGCGTGTTTCACAAAATGCTCCCTCCATTCAATAACGAAAGATTCTAAATTGGGCCAATGATCTCTTTTGTCCGCCAAATTATGTCTCGTCTCATCAAAT